TGGAGAAGTTGGTTGACGTAGTTCATGTGTTTTCGAGGGATATTGGAATGGAGTTTGGGTTGGATAAGTGTGCTGTGTTGATCTTGAAACAAGGGAGCAAGGTGCACTGTGAAGGAATTTTATTACCTGATGGTAAGGAAATGAGTGAGATGGATGAGAGTGGGTATAAGTACTTGGGTGTGTTGGAAGGGGCTGATATTATGCAGAAAGAAATGAAGCAGAAGGTGAGAGATGAATACTTGAGGAGGGTGAAGCTTGTGGCAAAATCCAAGTTGTATGGTGGTAATTTGATCAAGGCAATCAATGCTTGGGCTGTTAGTGTGGTAAGGTATAGTGCAGGTATCTTGGACTGGAGTGATCGAGAGTTAAAGGAGATGGATGTAAAGACTAGAAAGAGGTTGACAATGTTTGGGACATTTCACAAGAAGGGGAGTGTTCCAAGATTGTACATGAAGAGGAAGCATGGTGGTAGGGGACTGATCAGTGTTGTTGATTGTGTGAGAGAAGAAGAGCTTGGTTTGTGTGGGTATGTGAAAGCCAGTGAAGAGTGGATGCTAAAGGTGGTTGGTGAGATGGTAGAAGTTGGTGAGACGAAGAAGGAGTATAAGAAGAGGGTACAGAAGGAGAGGAGGGAGAATTTTATGCAGAAGAGGCTTCACGGAAAGTTTATGAGAGATGTGAGTGAAGTGGCTGATGAGAGGTCATGGCAGTGGTTAAGAGCAGGGTATTTGGGAAAGGGCACTGAGGGGTTTGTGTTTGCAGCACAAGAACAGGCTTTGAGGACGAGGTTTTTCCGAGCCACGATCCAAAAGGAAGCTGTTGATCCAAAGTGCAGGGTTTGTGGTAAGGAGGTGGAGTCTGTGGGACATTTGGCGAGTGGTTGTAGTGGGCTAGCTCAAAAGGAATACAGGAGAAGGCATGATAGAATGGGCTTGAGGGTGTATTGGGAACTGTGTAGGAAGTATGGAGTGAAGTGTGCTGATGTTTGGTATAAGGAAGTACCCGATGAGGTAAGGGTGTCAGAGGATGGTCAGGTAGAGATTTGGTGGGACAGGGGCGTCGAGACAACACAGAAGATGGAACATAATCGTCCGGATGTTACTGTGTTGAATCGGGCGGCCCAGGAGTGGACGTTTGTTGATTTCTCGGTGCCTTGGGACAAGAACGTGGTGTTGAAGGAGGATGAAAAGGTTGCAAAGTATGCACCTTTGGCAAAGGAGATAAGGAAGATGCACCGGGTATCAACAAAGGTAGTTCCATTAGTTGTTGGTTGTCTTGGGGTTGTGTCGAGTAGGTTTGTGGGATACCTAAAAGTTTTGGGTATCCCAGATGTTCTGGGTGGTATGCAGACGTGTGCAGTGATTGGGACCACCCTCATTTTACAAAAGGTGCTTAGCGTCTAAGCTCCTGGATGGGGCCGACTCTAAGTTAAATTAACACCAGCAGTATGAATTATATCTCTACTCTGGTTGTCTGTTAAACAGAAATTCGTTATTATTATTATTATGGCAGATTTTATTGACATTTCTTTGTTTCATAATTACATTAACCAGTGGACCTTAGATCTAAGCTAGTTAATTACATCTTTTTCATATTCCCTTTTTCAGTTAACATATTCATAGAACTTCTTTACAATATTTRCATTCTGACTCAAAATCCATTTCTGACAGCGTTCAATTAAATAGTTTAGTTCCATGTCCAAATGTTCGTAATTGGTCTCAAGTCCTTGCGCAGTTGTTCGTGATGTCCTCCAAGAAAGTCGAAAACGATATTAATTTGGTTSACTTCTGTACTTTTATGCTCCCTTTTGATGCCTGCGCGTAATTCTGTGTACTTTGTTTGTTTTTCATTTGATCGATCTAAGATTTTATCTACTTGGCAGACTGTCCCTTCAAGTAATGTCCAGGTATTGTCTTCTTTATCATAGACAATCACGTCGGGTTTATTTGCTCCATTTTCTGGTGGCGTTTCAAGGTAGTAGGGCACGTTCCAGTATATATTTGCCTTCTCATTCTCAATCACTGCAGATGGTAGAGTTTGTTGGTACCATGGTTTTCCATGGTCACTTTCTTGAAATATGTACTTGTTGAGCAAGCAGTGATATATCGGTCTTAGCATCCTGTCGTGTCTGGCTGTATAGAGGGTCTGGGCGATCTTTGAACAGCCGCWTAGAACGTGTGTTGTTGACTCTGTAGCTGAGTGGCACATTCTACAGTTGGTGTCTGTGATAGCCATCTGTGCTTTACTTTGTTTGTACGTCTTTGTTGGTAATAATTGTTGTCGTATGATTTTATTTACGCTATATACAATATCAGGTATGTTTTTCCATCTCTTCAGGATTTGGTTGACAGTGGGTGACATTTGTTTGTCTTGRAGCTGTTTGCTGGTGTAAGCTCCAAGCCATCTCTGTTCTTCTGCTTCCTTGGTGTACTTTTCTGTGATCTTAGATTTCAGCTATTTTAGTGCTGTAGGGGAAGAAGTGGTCGTCTTAGTCTCCACTACAGCAGCTGTTGTGTCTTTGTTTGCAGATATTATAGTGCCTGTATCATCAAACATACACTTGATGTTGTATTCTGCTGCGTATTTGGTTGCTTGTTTGAAGATTGACTTTCTTCCTGCGGTGATTCTATGCATTTCGTATGTTCTTGCTTGCTTGATTCTTTTGTCATCGTTGTTGTTAAGGTAGTTGGCCATTTTGATTGTTGTTAGTTTGTAAGTATCTTCTACGCTTTTCAT